AAAGGTCATATTAGCAAAAGTTTCTTACAGAAGTTCCAGTCTGAACTTGGTCTCCAATTCAGCTGAAATCCCATATGGACCAGCCATAGTCGTCCATCGTGATATCATACGCGCTGATCCCAGATTTCCTTAATCTAAAAATTACTGAGCATCAAAATCTTGTAATGAACAATTATACATGATAATGATATTTAGATGGGTACAAAACAGATATGAACTCTCGATGTTAATTACTCACTGACCTGGAATGAGGACAACATGCTAGCATCGTGTTTACTTAACCTTGAATGCAGAAGAACAAAATAGACCATCCAAAAGTAGCCCTCACTCATGTGAACCGGACATAACTCGATTCTTAGAGCAGCTAATCTTGGTGCTAGATGTCCGACCGCCAAAACATGCTTGTACTGTGCATCAGATATATCGAAATCTGGATCAAGCGGAACAACAAAAAGGGAAGATGGGAATTAGACTGAAATCACCATAATATAATACTACAACTACAGACCCGCTTCACAGCACACAATGCACCAACTTAACTCTTCTTTTTCAGGGAAAAGAACTCACCAAAAGATTATATCATAAAGAAAAAACTTTTTCTTCTAACCTGCAATGTCGACATCCATTTTCTGAGGTAGAACAAAGACAAGCTTTTCACTACCTCTATATCACTTTCACATAGGTTTATGGAATCTATAAGCGTGTGAAAATTCAGAAAGCATAAATAAATAGTCCTCCGCAAATTCAAACAAGTAGGGCCAAAATCATATGAATTCACGACCAAAATGAAAAGAGATATACGAAATTCAGAAACTCAAAATCTCCCTCACCGTCGAACTCATCTTCTTCCGGAAACGGGAAATCCAACCAGGTCTCCGGGTGATGCGCGATATCCCTCGCGAAGGCTAAAACTTCCTCACTACCCCAATTGTGCAGTCTACGACATCTGCGTAAATGATGGTTTCTCAATTCTTCTCGAACAAAAATCAAAAGTAATTGATATTCAATTCATATGAATCTTGAATTTACCTATGCATCATAGAAATCATATTCTGATGGATGGAGTCAACACCTTGTTCAAGCTTTCTAATCTCCAAATCCAAACCCTAGAGAAAAAAATAAATAAATAAAAACTGTACTTAATATAATCCATCAATATATGAGGGAGAATCATGGAACTCGCCTCGATTTTTTCCTATCTGTAACTTGGAAATAAGAAAAGGTAAAAGAAAGCACAATAATGGCAGAAGGAAAAAAATGTAACAACGAAGAGCGAGTGATTTTCGGGAAAGAAGAAAAAGTAATAGAAAGCTTGAAACTGATTTTCAGCAGAAAGAATGGCGACGGGTAGGGTTTGGTGGGAGAAGAAATGATAATGACGGATTGTGAGATAATGCCGTCTGTTTTTTTCCATAAAGTCCAGTGGCAGAGGTGGTAAAAAAATAACAAAAGAAAGGGCTTTTGTGTCCAAAAAGGACACGTGTCAGCACCAGAAATGCCTAAAGTTGTTTGGTTATATGTATAGTAGAGATATGTTACGTTTCAAAATGAACATCGCATCTTATAAAATGAATATGTTACGTTTTAAAATGAACATGTCAACTTATAAGATGAATATGTAGAATTCACTCGAACATACTAGAATTTGACTCGATTATACAAGAATTTAACTCGATTATACTAAGTTTGACTCGATTATACTAGAATTTGAATCAATTATACTAGATTTGACTCGATTATATTAAGTTTGGCTAGATTATAGTAGAATCGACTCAATTATACTAGAATTGACTCGATCAAACTAGAATTTGAATCAATTTTACTAAATTGGACTTGATTATACTAAGTTTGACTCAATTATACTAGAATTGAATTGATCACATTATAATTTGAATAGATATAATTTGTATTGATCATACTAGTTTTTAAAACGAACATGTCAACATATAAGATGAATATGTTACGTTTCAAAATGAACATCGCATCTTATAAAATGAATATGTTACGTTTTAAAATGAACATGTCAACTTATAAGATGAATATGTAGAATTGACTCGTTTATACTAGAATTGACTCGATTATACTAGAATTCACTCGAATATACTAGAATTGACTCGTTTATACTAGATTTGACTCGATTATACTAGAATTCAGTCGAACATACTAGCATTTGACTCGATTATACTAGATTTGACTCGATTAAACTAGAATTCACTCGAACATACTAGAATTTGACTCGATTATACTAGAATTCACTCGAACATACTAGAATTTGACTCGATTATACTAGATTTGACTCGATTATACTAGAATTCAGTCAAACATACTAGAATTTGACTTGATTATACTAGATTTGACTCGATTATACTAGAATTTGACTCGATTATACTAGATTTGACTCGATTATACTAGATTTGACTCGGTTATACTAGATTTGACTCGATTATACTAGAATTCAATCGAACTTACTAGAATTTGACTTGATTATACTAGATTTGACTCGATTATACTAGATTTTGACTCGATTATACTAGATTTTGACTCGATTATACTAGATTTGACTCGATTATACTAGAATTTGACTGATTATACTAGAATTTGAGTCGATTATACTAGATTTGACTCGATTATACTAGAATTCAGTCGAACATACTAGAATTTGACTTCATTATACTAGATTTGACTCGATTATACTAGAATTTGACTCGATTATACTAGATTTGACTCGATTATACTAGATTTGACTCGATTATACTAGAATTTGACTCAATTATACTAGATTTGACTCGATTATACTAGATTTGACTCGATTATACTAGAATTCACTCGAACATACTAGAATTTGACTCGATTATACTAGAATTTGACTCGATTATACTAGAATTCAGTCGAACATACTAGAATTTGACTCGATTATACTAGAATTCAGTCGAACATACTAGAATTTGACTCGATTATACTAGATTTTGACTCGATTATACTAGATTTGACTCGATTATACTAGAATTCACTCGAACATACTAGAATTTGACTCGATTATACTAGATTTAACTTGATTATACTAGAATTCACTCGAACATACTAGAATTTAACTCGATTATACTAGATTTGACTCGATTATACTAGAATTCACTCGAACATACTAGAATTTGACTCGATTATACTAGAATTTGACTCGATTATACTAGAACTCACTCGAACATACTAGAATTTGACTCGATTATACTAGAATTTGACTCAATTATACTAAGTTTGACTCAATTATACGTTTCTTGGTAAAAAGAATATTTTACTTTGTAAAATGAATACGTCTCTTGGTAAAATGAACATGTTCTTTTATTAAATGAACACGTTACTTGGTAAAATGAATATGTTGATTTGTAAAATGAATATGTTACTTTGTAAAATGAATACGTTGTTTAGTAAAATGAACATGTTCCTTTGTAAAATAAATACGTCTTTTGGTAAAATGAACATGTTCCTTTACAAAATGAACATGTTTCAAGGTAAAATGAACATGTTTAACACTAAATAATTGTCTTAACAGAGAACTAACACAAAAAAAGAACTAACATGTTTATCAAACCGAACAAACAGATAACTAACATTAAATCTATCAAAGTTGTTCATTTATCACTCGATTGTCTTTTCAGCGAAATAATTACTCAAATCCTCTAGGACAACATCTGATTTCTTGTTTATTGGAGACTCGATCAATTTGGCCATGTACTTCACCCGCAGAGTATCCAACTTGTTCTTCATGTGGACCTTTTTCCTCTGAAATGGACAATATAATCAACATCAGTTTGACTTGTAATATGCAACTCGAGTAAGAGCTTGAAAATTTAGGATGAAAAATATTACCAAATCACTGCCTATCACAGGAATGCGCAATCATGGCCATCTGCATGCACACAAACATATTTGGACATGTGATGCATCGCATATATTCCGCAGTCCGTTGTGTTTGTTGAATCTGCGCAGTGCATGTTCACCAGTTTAAAGGTAAGCTTGTTGAACGCGCTCTTGAAGGCTTTCTTGTACGTTTTTTTGTACTCTTCAATGGCCTTTTTCTGTTTGTTGATGCCAGAATTAATAATTGTTTTTGTTAAAAAATAAAAAAAAAAAAACTATATAGAATGTAAGTTGAAATAGTCAAGTCTTACCAAGAAATCTTTAGTTCCACCATACTTGTTTTCCATTGGCACTTTTCCACTCAACACTGTATCCATGTTATCAAGAATGCCCAGCTTTTTATTTTCAAAGTCCAAACAGTACAGGTAAAAATGGGTCTGATAATAGACTAGGACAATAAGCTGAAAAATAGAACAGACCAATGTAAGATGAACATGTTTAACACTAAGATGAGTATGTTTCACAATGAGATGAACATGTTATATTTACTCACATGGCTGATATTCTTAATATCATGTTTCGAAAGCCCTTCTTCTGTGAACTCGACATCCATCCTCGCAGCTGCATCCCTCACATATTCCATCGGATCTCTGTTATTCATAGCTTGCAAGGACAATCCCACCTAGAAAGTATGCCAAATGTTTAGTGTAAGAGACATAGCGAGGTGTTAGTAGTTCATCACATATGGATTCTTACCATGACATTAGTTGTTAAGCAGAATTTATTCTTATTTTTTTCAAGCGGTGGAATCTGAAATTCAAGTGCGCCGCCCAAGCATCAACAATTGTTGTTGAAATATACTCTCCAAGCTTGAAGGTCTTGAAATCCTCTCTTGTGCAGGTCATTTGTAATCCTTCAAAGATGACTTCTCTGTAACAGTTACACAAAGAAATGATGAACATGTTATATATCATAATGAACATTGTATACAACCAGATGAACATGTTATATAATTTAATGAACATTTCATACAACCGGATGAACATGTATCAGAATAAAATGAACATACGTGGTTTTTTCAGCATTGTCGTTGTCCCCTTCCATTATAAAGTTCTAAAATGCTCTTTCCTTCAGAGTGCACTTGCCTCTGATTTCAACATGCCCTTTCCAAAAGGGAGTTGATAGGAAAGGGGGATCCAAATCGCTTTTTTTATTGCCTTTTTCTCCAAGAACCATCCTGTAATATTCATGATATTAGTTAATTTGTAAATTTGCAAGTTGAATGTTTGACTAGAACAAAATACATACTTTTCAAATAACAATCTCCTCTCAAATGGAGTTTTTGGTGTCTTCTCTCCACTAGATTCTTCTTCCAAATCTTTTTTTTTCTGGAGTCTTCTCTCCCACCTCTTCTACCACCGAAACATCTCCTTGCAGATCATTTTTTTCAGGAGTCTCCTCTCCCAGCTCTTCTACCACTGGAGCATCTCCTTGCAGTTCAGTAGTCCGCTCTCTTATCTCTTTATCTTTTTGCAGTTCAAAATCAGAATGAATAAATAAATATTCAGACCCAAATGAATACTTTATTCAATAAAATGAACATATGTAAGAACGAAATGAACATGTTACCTGAATCTTGTGTTTGTTGATGTCCATCAGTTGCAATTTCTTTCTGAATTCTTTCCCGTTCTTGCACCACAACATCATCCTCATCCACTTCTTTATTACTGTCTCTATCCCCATGTTCATTGAAAATATCTGACAAAATAGATTGAATTCCTTCAAAATCAGAATGAATAACTAAATATTCAGACCCAAAATGAATATGTTATTCAATAAAATGAATATATTAAAGAACAAAATGAACATGTTACCTGTATCCTGTGCTTGTTGTTGTCCATCAGTTGCAAGTTCTTTCTGAATTCCTTCGCGTTTTTGCACCACAACATCATTCTCATCCACTTCCTTATTACTGTCTTCTCCATCCCCATATTCATTTAAAATATATGACAAATGAATATATTAATATTCAGACCAAAATGAATATGTCATTCAATAAAATGAACATATTTAAGAATGAAATGAACATGTTACCTGTATTTTGTGCTTCTTGATGTCCATCAGGTGCCATTTGAGTCTCAATTCCTTCATTTCTTTGCACACCATCATCCTCTTTCTCTTCCTCATTTTCTAA